TGTTTTTTTTTTTTTTTTTTTTTTTTTTTTTTTGGGGGGGGGGTCGTTTTCTGAAAAAGTGGACCTCTTACCATAAAATTAAATCCTCAAGTACATAGTTCAAATTGTACCCAGAGTGGACCTTTTCCCAGCAAAAAGGGTGGTTCTTTCGAACCACCCAAACCTCTGCTGGCTACGGGCCTGATATTTCATGATATTTTGAAATAGACAATGATGCCACTGCTAGATCCCAAACATTATTATATATCTATACTTATTCAGAGGTTAAAGTATGAGAAATGCATGGACCCTTCAAGTTCCAGAGGCCCTTTTACTTATACATCCTAGCTTACACAATGAAAGGTACATTTTTGTAAAGACAAATGGAACAGATAAAAATCATATCTGGATATGTTTATGATGAGTTTCCTGAATATCCTCCTCTCTAGGTCTAATGGCTGGGCTGACTATGGGTTTACTGTCACTGGATCAGATGAGTCTGAATGTACTGAAGGAAGCAGGGACACCAAAACAGAAGAAATATGCAGCAAGGATCCTCCCTGTTGTGAAGAGGCATCATCTGTTATTGGTATAATAGTAGTGCATTCATTGTTCCTTCTAGTATCATTGCTATACATATGTATTGCTCTCAGTATGATGTGCCTACTTATGAATAGATTTGAGCTGTGTTGTATAGTTTTTAAATGAATATTTCCACAATAGATGTATGCTCTTGTCTGTTTCTTATATTATAATATATGCACAGCATGAAGTTCGTATATGAACCAAACTGGCTCTGAAGTTTGTTTAGTTTAATTACTAAGACTTCAGATACACTGTATATGTACATGTATGTTAGTATTCCCTTTTATGTAAACATAGCAAGTATAGTACCTCAATCACACTACAATATCCATCAAATAATGTAATTTTACTATAAACATAGTACATGCACATGTAATAGAGAGTATTCTATCTGATAGTAAAGACTACTCTGTATATCTTTTATGATTAATTAATTACTGTATAACTTTATTTTGCAACTTTAAGGTGACCCTGTTGTTGGCCAATGCTGCTGCCGTGGAAACCATGCCCCTCTTTTTGGACAGAGTATCTGACCCAGTCACTGCCATAGTCGTCTCTGTGACAGCAGTTTTAATATTTGGAGAGTAAGTGGATGAATTTCAGTCATAACTGAAGTGATTCATTATTTCCTTAAAATCACTAAACACCTATATGAAAGGAAAAGGTGTAAGTTTCTTGATAGAATGTTTTGATCTCAGGTGTACTGTTACTTTGTACTTTTTACACTGTATTTGGTCAATACAATCAACATATTAAGTTATACTACTATTTCTAATGTCCCAGTTGCAGTTGAGACAAGATCCTGCACATAAATTAACCACCTGTTATTAGATATCACATACTCCATAGTACAAAATGACAGTATCTCCTGACAAACTTTCAGACATGCAAATATATTATTTATTCTTGAATGCTAGAAAATTTACTAGTTAGCAAGAAACACATTTACCGGAATGACAGCTGTTACATGTACATGTAGAGCAGTTGACATCACTATGATATTTGTTATGAGAAGCAAATTGGGAAAATAGTAGTGAATTGATTATTCTGTTGTCCTATTATCACAACGGTAGTTTTAAATGAATATTTCCACTGTGACAGTAAACGTATGTGTTTGTCTATTTCTGAATGTACATACACAGTACATCAACCAGCACTAAAAACTTGAATTAACCATGCTTCTAGAAAGTTATTAGTACCACCAGCGTGTTCGCTGGCGGTACTCATGGTTTTAGTCACGACCCGTCTCGTACAGCTCCGCCGGCTCCTGCGGCTCCTGCGGCTCCTGCGGCTCCGCAGGATGGCGTGGGATACAAGTCACCGTTACCGCTTCTCCTCCTAGACCGCAAGGACCTGTGTCCCCATCTCTTGGATTTTGGTCACATAAAATCTCAACTTGAACCCCCTGGTTTTTTTTGTCTCAGTCGGTGCATTGGCCTGGGTGTGGCACTCGTTATAACGCACCCTTGTCAAAATTTTTGAAAATTCAATGCTAAATATCTCCCATACCGAAGGAATTATGTGAAAAATTTCTACAGATGGCTGACCGAAAGTCATATGTGGAGATTTCAAATATGCCCTTGGATTTGACCTTTGACCTTTATTTCAANAGTTACTATTGAACTTCAATAGGAAGTCATATACTGGCAATCTAACTGTGACCTTGAAATTGACCTCTGACCTACTTTACACCATGAACTGAACGTTGCAAATTTTGGTTCCCTTTTCTCTCTAAAACTGGCAGAGATATGTCCATAGTTACTATTGAACTTGAATAGGAAGTCATATACTGGCAATCTAGGAGTGACCTTTAAATTGACCTTTGACCTAATTTTCATCATGAATTGAACTTTGCAAATTTTGGTTCCCTTTTATTTCCAAAACTGGCAGAGATAGGTCTATAGTTACTATTGAAGTTGAATAGGAAGTCACATACTGGCAATTTATCTGTGACCTTGAAATTGACCTTTGACCTACTTTACACCATTAACTGAACTTTGCAACTTTTTTAATGCTTATACTTTCAAAACTGGCAAAGATATGCCCATAGTTACTATTGAACTTGAATAGGAAGTCATATACTGGCAATTTACTGTGACCTTAAAATTAACCTTTGACCTACTTTTTACCATGAACTGAACTTTGCAAATTTCCATTCCCTTTTATCTCCAAAACTGGCAGAGAAAGGTCCATAGTTACTATTGAACTTGAATAGGAAGTAATACACTGGCAATCTAACTGTCACCTTGAAATTGACCTTTGACCTAATTTTTATGATGAACTGCTTTTTGCATGTTTTCTGGCCGTTAAATCTGCAAAACTTGAAAAGAAATGCCCATGGTTACTATTGAACTTGAATAGAAATTCATATACTATGATGTTGAAATTGACTTTGACCTACTTTTTCACCATGAACTGAGCTTTGCATATTTTCTTGCTCCTCATATCTTTAAAACTAGCAGAGATGTGCCCGGTGTTGCCCCTAAGTTTTCTCTTTTGTCAGCATATATGCACCACTGACAACACATTTTAAGGAAAACCAATAGGCCTTTTGTCTAGAGAATCACGGGAGTGATCAATGGTAGGAAAATGCAGGTCAGTTCGAAAATCTGCTTGATTGTACCATTTTGATTCATATTTTTTGGCATATTTTGAGAACTCTTGTTGATTGCATTTTATAGAGCTCGTCAAGCACAAGACTGGTGATGGTGTCCCTTTTTTTTTGGGGGGGGGGTCCATAGGAATGCGCTTACTCCAGCTGGTGGTACAATATCCGCAGGCGGTATCGCCTCTCTGATCCTCTAGTTCATTACTGGGAACTACTTGTTAAGACTCATTCTTATTTACATAGTGCATGTAGGTGAATAAGTGTACATGTGCTGTTATATGTGAGCAAAAACCTTGAGTAGACATTCTGTATTTTTTGACACATGTATGTACTTACAACTTTACATATGTTTAATAATTCATGTCTACATTTTCAGGGTATTTCCCCAAGCTTTGTGTACAAGATTTGGATTGGCCATTGGAGCTAATTTAGTTCCGTAAGTATATATGTACTGATATGATAGATGACCAAACATTTGGTAAATATTTATGAATATTTCTCCTAAACTTTACAGATATGATATGATACTAATTGAGTGGCATTGTTATTAATAACAAGTACACTGCACTGTTAAGTTGATTAGCCCTCCTTTAAACTTTTTTTAATACATGTAACTGTTTTTTTTTCAGTAATTTTATTTTTCTTCTCTATCCATTTCATTTTAATCTTCACATATCCGTTGTTAATATGTTGTCTTTTTCATTCACAGGCTGGTTTACTTTTTAATGGCAATATTATTCATCATAGCCTGGCCACTAGCTAAATTGCTGGACTTTTTACTGGGACACGACCATGCCACCTTTTTCCGTCGTGCTGAGCTGAAAGCGTTAGTAACTCTACATGGGCCAGAGAACACGGAGGCTGACTGCAGTGATGGAGATGTCTCAAGTCAAGAAAAACTTACTGTGGATGAAGTGTTAATCATAAAGGTTAATGTTTTTAGAAGAAGGTCTAATTCAATATAATATATCAATGCAGTGTGTTAATTTTAACTTAAATATCTCTGGTCATGTGCTTTTGAAGTTTATAAAGCTTTCACCTATCACTGCAACATTAATGTCAGAGTGATGACACTGACTGGTTGATAATCATGATCAGTTTAAAGCATAGTCCTTTAATATCCAGAGAAACTAAAGGAAGAAATTAACTCACTGGATATTTAAATGAATATATGGGTTTATCTTAGTCTGTGATATTTTGTAGTTAATAATTAATATGGAAGTTGTAGAATTATCTACTGCAGTACTATTACTTCAGACCTAACAACCATCATGACACATTTATGTACAAGATATCAGTTTTTTGTTTTGAAAGAGCTATTTTTTCTCTGCTTTTTTATTCTTTAGTCATTTCAAATCTTCTAACATGTATTGATGGGTCATACTATCAGATAATTTATAATGGTGAAATTTCATTGTAAATTATAGGGGGCTTTAGAAATGAGAGACAAGACTGCAAAGGATGCCCTGGTGCCCCTGGAGAGTGTTTTCACATTGGACATCAATGACAAAATGGACAGTGATACCATGAACAGGGTAATTTAAATGAACTCTGGACATTTATATTTTCTCCTCACCCTCTCCCCATCCAGCTTTAAAACCGAACAAATGCTCACATCTTAAATGGTTGCATTTTGTCTTTCAGACAGATTAAATAGAAATCGTTGTTTATTCACAATTTTATAGAGACATTATTCTGGTACTAAAAACAAAACAAATCTTGCAATTATTTTCATATATTAACTTGTTGTTTGCAATTTCTTGTTCAGATTTTAGAGGTGTCCCACTCAAGAGTACCAATCTATGAAGGCAATAAAGAAAACATCATTGGAGTTCTTCTAGTCAAAACATTGATTCTTCTGGATCCAGATGATAAAGTGCCAATACGAAGCTTGAAAAATACGAAGTCATGGAGAGATGTGCATTATATAGAAGAAACAAAACCACTGTTTGATTTACTCAATGAATACCAGCTCGGAAAAGGTAAATTTTTGACTTTGAGAATTATTTACATTTGAACATTTAGATAGGAGTATTGTCAAATGTATGATTAACCCAATTCAGAGAATTCAGGTTTTAATTGTCCTCATACATGTATGTAAACATTAAGGTACCAAAACTTATACATTTGATAAAATGTGGACATTTCTAGTAGGTATGATGTGTATAGAAATCTCACTGGTCAACTGGAATCAACAACAAAACTTACAATGCATATACATGTAGCTTTATTTAAGCTTTTAGAATTTAAGCTTTGATGTTCTATTTGAGTACTGCAAGTCAGTTGCGAAGAGTTTTCCTATCCATTGTATGTGGGAATTTCTCTCCTTTTAGAGGATTTTCCCCTTATGTTATCTTATGTTACCATTGATATTGTGTGACTTACTTTTAGATTTGAAATCAAAGGGGATTATTATTTTAATTCTAGCTCATATGTCTGTGGTTCTAAAAACAGATGATGGAACAAGCAACAGCATACAGGCAGAAGGGGGACAACCATTGCATGTAAGTATATGAGGAAGGAGATTACAATATTTTTCATGTACTGGTACATTGTATTCTTTAGTGCACAATCATATGATTTTTGCATATGCAAAAAAAAAAAAAAAAAAAAAAACCTTTGAGATGCAGGGTGTTAAGTTTGGAATGATGAAAAGTTGATTTTGCAGGTAGAAGAATATCAAGAAATATAATCAATACCTATGGTAAAAGAATACATAATTTTTTACATTGTATGCCTTTAGAATGTTGCTGGAATAATCACTTTAGAAGATGTAATAGAAGAGTTAATTCAAGAAGAAATAGTTGATGAGACAGATGTCTTCGTGGACGTTCACAAAAGAATCCAGGTGGCCAGAGCCAAGGTGGCAAAGATTCCAGGATTAGCTGACCGTTTTGCTGTAAGTTTTTATCTCTACTAACACAGAACAGTGTCCATTTATCAGCTTGCAGTGCACATGTAGTTAATTTTTAATCATAATAATTTTAATCAAAACTTTTATCAATATAATTTGATATCAAGTAGGTTAAAGGAGGTTGCTGTCACTAATTAATGTGTATTAATTCAGTCTGCAAACATGAATTACAAACTAAAGAAAATTGTTTTAATTTCTATCATTGTGACTTTCAGAAAATGGCAGAAAGAAGCAAATCACATCCGCCCACAAGTAAACTGTTGCCACCCATAGATCTCCCACATAGTGGCCTGAAAAATGACAGGGCTACATCCATTAGTGAAATACCCACGACCACACAAGGAGATACCAGTACCAACATGACAAAACCCTCCCAGTCAGGTTCTTTAGATAATACATCAGACACGTACAGTTATGATGGGGATGACACTGCATTACTATTGGGAAAGTGATCTGACAAACTTTGTTAAAAGCACACAATGAGGGTTAGGTGTTTATAGAGCAATATCACCTGTATCACCTGTATCTCTTAATCAACAAGGAACGCTGTATCCAAAACTGCTATATGAACTATAAACCCTTTTCATCTTTGGCAAGTCTAAATTTACAGCTGTTCATTAAGGCTTTCATTATTATTATTATTTTATTTATTTATTTATTTATTTATTTTTTTGTTTAGTGTATTGTTTTATAATTCTTGGAGGTGATATTATTTGGGACTAGATGCTTATTTAATACTTTTTCACCAAATGCAAAAGAAAATGTGGTTAAGGTTGGTAAAATATTGTTTTTGCTTAAGGTAAGATTAATATTAATTATTTTTCTTTCCCATTTAGTGAAGAAAATTTAATTTAGAGTGACACCAGCAAGATGTTTCTTAATTAAGGGACTTCTGGTCAGCTCCATTGTTGATGTAGTGCTAGAATATCTATATATTGGTATGTTTGATGAATCTTTTTTGGATTTTTGAAATGCGATTATATATTTTGGGCCAAAAGTATATTTATGATGTATTTATTGTATGGATATGTTTTTTTTTTTAAGTTTTGCAATACTTAAATTGTTATTAGTGTTGTTTCTTTTATATTGTTTACTGGTTATGTATTTATATATAAATGGAAATATAGTATACATACATTTACCAGGGTATTCCATACTCCAGAACTAGATGAGTTCTTTATACATTTCCAATTACTCAACGAAAAATATTTGATTAGTGCATATTAATTAAATGCTACACAAGACCAGTTATAATTTTTTTTTTTCGTTTTTTCTTTTTTAAGAGAAATGGGGTTCTTTTCCTCCGTCATAGTTGTTTTAATCAATGCGTCACTTGACTCTATCAGTTTACATATACATAAAGTTTACCTGTATATAAGCGCTTCCTTAGATATTGCTTATCTGGTAAATAATTATGACTAGTAAAATTCCCAGTGCTATTTGGTGGGAGAATTATTGATATGACAAGCTGTTACAGATGAATAAATAATGTCGAGTTATAAAATGCCCCAGTTTTCAAATATCACTTTTTTCTCAATCATTTTTTCTTGAAGACTAATGTTTTTAAATCTTTTTTAGACAACTTTTATTTGGGATAAGTAAAGATAATGATACAAGTAAATAAAAGTGAATATATTTCATTAATCACTTATGTACATTTACACGAGAATATTTATATGCTTGGCTTTATGATTAATCTTGGGTTAAGTGCAAACATTCCATACCATAATCCACATAGAACACTGTTAATCTATTTCTGCAAGTCACTATAATCCACTAACGAATGCTTTTAAAAGGATAATTTATAAAGCAGACATCACAATTTGTTGATTTGTTTGAAGGTTTGAGTACCATCAAAGATATGTTCTTATGTACCGTGACTTTCAGAGGATCCTGGAAAACATGCCTCTCTAGCAGCATGTAGTACTGTAGTAGAGAGGTGAGTTTTCTGTGACCTTTAAAACTTGGGATGGTCTTCTGTTAAATGTTAAATAGTTTGAAAGACAGTTCTTTATTTTTCTTCTCTCTGTGCCCTCTGTAGATTTTTTTTCTTTGAGAAGTCAGGGAGGGAAGATATTGTGCCCCATACCTCCAGAGACCTCACTGTAGACTTTGTACTAGCAATATATTAATTGTCTGGTGATGACAGTGGTACTTTTTCCTAAGTTCTAAATATACTGCATGGTATAATGAGAATATATTTTGTTTCCTGGAAGCTTAATTATGGGGTACGAATGACTGTATCAGATCACTTAATTTACCCTCAGTATCAGGAACTTCATGGAACTTATATTACCGGTATACTTGGGGATTTTTTCGAATTAGTTCTTTGCAATCAGGTTTGATTTTTATAAAGTTTCTGTTCACTTTAGTAGCAATAGTTGGCATACTCATGTTAGAAAAGCCATTGATTAGTTATACAACATAAAGATCTATACTTGTACATGTATTTTTATTTCAAGTCTGTTTAGTAATATAAAAGTATTGAGCCAAATTTATATGATCAAAATGTCCCAGAACAAACTAACAGTATTTTATTGTAATTTAAGGAAGAGGCTCATGGTAGAGGAATATATTATAGGGCAAGCATTTATAAAAGCAGTGCTATATGAAAGGAGGGGATTTTTTTGTCGTTTGGTTATTTGTTCTTTTTATTCTATACATACTGGCAATATGTACAATGTATGTACATTATATGAAACTTAAAATGTTTCTTCTGTTGAATGTTTTGATTTGTTAATCCACTGAAAGACCAAACTTACAACACTACAAAAAAAAAAGATTTGTAATATTATTCTGCACAGTTTATTATATATTTTGTTTACTTATTTTTCTTTAAAGGGGTTGGTCCCATGATTTCTATTCAGAAACATCTGAAACTTATTTTAAATACTCTACCACCAGGGTATTTTAAATCAAGTTCAAGAAACAAAAATACTTGCCCCCCAGTTCACCCTACTTAAAGTTTGTATTTACTGGTCAGATGGGGGGAGGCCAGAATGTGTTCAACCAATTGCTTGGTTAATTAAGCCTTAATTTTCATTTTAGACAGTTTTCCCATGTTTGAATACAAAAGGGGAGTTTTTAGGTACTAAGAAAATTTCCCTAGTTATTGAATTTATTCATTTATTTATTTATTTATTTATTTTAGTAATTTTAAATTGATTGGAAATGGGATTTTATAGGCATCACAATTACTGGTTATATTTCTCTTTGTCGAAGACAAATTCAAAAATATTCCAAAAAATTCTAAGATCGCAATTAAATGTTTGAATATAAAATACACAGGATTTTTAAGTACTAAGAAACTCCCCCCTTACTGAAAAATTGACTAATTATTTTAGTTATGGAATAAATCGAAAGGGGATTTTATAGGCATTACAATTACTGGTTATAACTCTCTTAGTTGAAAACAAATTAAATAATGTTTAAAAAAATCTAAGATCACAATCTAATCCTTTTTGTTTTCTGCATCGCAAAAATCAAAAATATTTGAGCATTGCTTTGAATTACATTAATATTAAAAGATAAGACGTACCTGTATATCTTCAATAGGCAGTCTAAAGACGACTACTCCATATTGTTTGCCTCGTGAAAGTAATTTATATCATATTTTAAAAAAAGCCATTTTTCGTTTCGATGAATCATAGGAAAATTTGGGGGATTTTTAAAGCCCCGAACAATGTTTCATCGTCTATTAAGTTCTCAGGGATGTTTTGGGTATGTCTAAACAGGCATGACCGGGGTAGTTTACATGCAGCTACACCTGGCCTTATTACTCCTTACATGCATTTGAATTGTACTTTCTTTACACCTGTACTTCCTATTCCAAGTAAATATTGAAACAGTCTGGAGAGGACGGTTTCAAGAACGAAACCGCTTACCTGGAAACTACTGTAAAGCGAAACCACCATTAGTCACCGGTATCAAAACTAAGATGCGTTGGTGTATTTTTTCATGAACTCGATACTAAAATATCAAAAATGACTTTTATTATTATTATTGTTTGAGATTTTGTTTCATCAATCCGAAGGGAAAACAAAATTAAGTAAATAAACGACCGGAGAATGGATATAATGAACGTCATAGTCGATCACTAGATGGAGCCGGTGCATGTTTTG